TGTTGTTTTTTGGTTTTAGTAAGCATTTTACGGCACTAGTAACACAGTTAGGTCATATAAGTGCGGAAGAATAGCGGTGTTAAAAGAGAGTAAAAAAAGGAGGGTAGATAAGGACGATAGAAATTCGAAAGGAAGAAGAAGCAAAAGCGCACCCAGAGCACCCACCAACAACCCACTAAAGAACGATTGAGAAACATGTCTATGGCCAAAATGAATGTCCGGTGGGTTTAAAAAAGAATACCAGAATCTTTTTTTTCAATCAGCGTTAATAATGCATTTTGTTAAAGGATAGTCACTACTAAACTGAACTAAGGCTTCAGACCCCGCACACGCACTCCCCCCCCCCTTAAATAGGCCTGCTCACCAACACAATAAAGCATACACATGCGCTGGTCACTGTTTTTGACGCGTTTTTTAAAGGATGATTAGAGTTTTATCGTACTGAATGTCACTTCTTATAGGGTATCGTATACATACATTTGCACACATACACACACAAACACACGAACACGCATGCACACAAGTAGTTGAATGTTACACACTCAGTATTTAAATCAGAAGGATATGTTTTTTGTATTTTGTTTTGTTTTATTTCTATTGAAAAAGGGTATTAACCCCCCCCCCCCAAAAAAAACAACAACAACAAAAACAACAAAAACAAATAGGTACGCCATATCAGTGCTCTGATAATATTATGATCATATGCGTTTGAGAGCGCCGTTTAACTTTTTTCAAAGTGAGTCCATATGTTTATCGTCATCTATGTTTAGTCAGATTTGTTGTGGTTCATAGGACGCATGCTACGTTTTCCATGGACAGCTAGAAAAACAAATGAAGAAGTCTTGGTTGAAGCAAATTGCAGAAGACAGCTTATGACGTATATAAGAAAGCGACAGGCAAATTTCTTCGGACACAAAATGCGGAAAGATGCATTGGAAAATATAATAAAGCGACAGGCAAATTTTTTCGGACACAAAATGCGGAAAGATGCATTGGAGAATATTGTAACAACAGGCAAGTTTGATGGAAAGAGAGGCAGAGGCAGACAGAGGGAAACGATACTGGACAAGATGACAACATGGCTAGGAGCAGCAAGAACAACAGACTCAATTTTTGCAAAGCAAGACAGAGTGGAGTGGAGGTCCATGATCGCCCAGGCCAATCGGCAAGGCACCGGATGAGGATGATGATGTTTGGTTAAGTTTGATACCTGCATCATGCGCTGGTGACTCCCTTCGCTCGGAGCCGGACCTGACGACAGCGAGGCAGTGACCGGATGTTTGCCGGACACCTGGTCCAGCGCCTGAAGAGCACACTTGTACTGGATGACCCCTTTCTCTAGTTCCACACGCAGCGCATCGTGCAGAGTCATCAGTTTCCCGCCAGAGCTGTCCACTAGTCCGTGTTTGCCCATGTTGCGTAGACACCTGACGAAAGATGAACATTAATGGAGAGCAGTTCAGTCCCCGAATACTAAATGATTCAAATTATTTTGATTGCCGGGTTAGGGGGAGGGGGGGGGGGGGGGGGGGGCGAATGTTTTCAGTCAATTAGTTGAGTCCTGCTATTGAGGCGTTATTTTTTGTCGACATTTTGACACTTTCTCGTGTTAATGTTTGATTTCAGTTTTTCCGCTTTTATGAATGTTTAACAAAAATTTAAGGGAGACTTTTTTTTTTGTCGCCTGTGCCATGTGTGTGTGCGCGTCCGTGCGTGTGTGTGTGTGTGTGTGTGTGTGTGTGTGTGCGCGTGCGTGTATGTGTGTGTGTGTGTGTATGAGTGCGCTCGTGTGCGTGGTTTGTGTGTGTGTGTGGGGGGGGGGGGGTCAAACAAAAAACAGAGCAGAAAAGACAATTCAATTTGACCCCAGAAGAAAGTGAAGAAATGTGTTGCTCTGATTGTTTTCTGAGAAGACAAATCGGATACACCAATAACGTCATAAGTATGGTCTCTGAGGACACATTGTGTCCTGGTAAACTTGAGGAATCATGGCTTTTATGTGAATTGGTGCGATATGAATTTATTGTTGTCTTCATGAACATCAGCTATCTTCCCTCATTCGCATATTTGTTCTTGCATGAAAATCTTTTGTGTATGGAATACTTGAGGTCTAATATCCAGTGCCCAATGGAGAAAGTTTCGGCAAATCTTCATTTGACATATTTTAATATAACTAAGTGAAGGGTGCCGGCCAGTGCACACTGTATCAAAGTGAAGGGCAGAAGGGAAAAACAAGAGGTGTCAGTTTTTGGTAAATTTTAGTTGTGGCATAACTAGTTAACCCACCTCTTCTGGTAGATTAGCTAAGTGTCCAGGACTAAAACTTAATGAGTTGCCCAATATCAGGATCATCATCACCATTGCCTTTCTCATCATGGATCAGGATATAGGCCACGAACAAACACTTTCCACCTTTCCCTATCCTGGGCTTGATGTCACTCCGTTCTTCCCACTTTTCTGCCCGTCATTGTTCCTGCTGATACAGAAGCTCTTCCGTCTCCAGAGATGGAAAAATAATAAGGCATGTTTGTTCGTGTTTCTGTAACTTTCCGTTTTTACTGGGTCGGTAGCTGGCCCTCCGCAAACAGGCACTTTTTCGGGCGACCAGACCTGTGCAGTTTTAGTCGCCCCTTACAACACGCAGTATCAAGTGTATTCTTTACTCCCCCATAGTAAAACTATGGTGCCCCCCCCCCACCTGCAGGCGCCAATATAAGGATGCTTGGGAAAAAAAGCTTTATTACGAAAATAAGAGAGCTGTCAAGCATTCCATTTGCGTTTTCCTTAAAATGACAAAAAGTGGCATCCCTTGCATTTTCCTTATGCAATCGAATTTTGTTTTCCTTCATCGAATTCGAACCGGAGGTCCACAAGAACAAGTCACATTCCGCGCCCAAACAAAATATTACGAGTAGGAGCCTTCGAACTGACTGTTTTCATCAAACCTATCAACTGGCGACCTTGAAAGTTAAACATGAATGATTTTTTAGGATTGATCAAATGGTGTCAAAATAGCAGCTTTTGTTCCTTAATGAAGCAAAACATGGTCGCCTCAAGATTATCAAACATTGAATTAGAGATTTGAGGAAACTTTCTGCAAATGTTTTCTGAGTTTAAAGTTAACAACCGAAAAGGAATAAGACGTTGAAGAAACTGCTTTGAACTGTGGCAATCACGGTAAATCAAGTTTTCTTGGTTTAGCATGCATCGTTTATTTGACCGCTTCAATGTTATATATCCATACCAAAACTGGGTATTTCCTGACTGACCCCCACCCAAAATTCTTGGAAATGAAAATGATGTAAAACGATGTTCGGAAAAAACCCAACAACAACCGAACAACAACAAAAACACTTTAACCTTTCCAACTTCAAAGAATAAAGCAATAAAGACTTTCCCCACCCCATTTCTTACTTGTCAATGGCAGACTTTCTCTGCGCTACAATGTTCCTGAAGTTGGTCTCGACCCCCAGTATGACCCGGACAATGGCCTTGCAGCTCTGCAAATACCCGCCGCGGTCAGTGTCTGTCAGAGACTCTGTGGCAAATACAATGACCAGTCGCTTGACCAGTTGGTCTGTCATGAGCTGGCCGGTGGGAAGAGACTGCTCAGTGTTTTGGTTTACCTGGATAATCAGAAAAGGGCTCGTTTTATGACTTTGGAAGAGTTTTACGGCACTTGCAACACATTGAGGTCGTATACGTGGTGAAGATTAGAGTTGTTACAAGAAAATAACAAACATGAAAAAGAAATAGGAGAGAAAGGATGATAGATGTTTGATAGGAAAGAAGAAGCAAACTGCACCAGTGTATTTGCCAACCACCCGCAAAAAATACAAGGAAATTCAAATGTAATTACAGTCGCAACTGCTTTATAGCTAGTTTATATTTATCTGTCCGTGTTAAAAAATTCTCTCTCATGCTTTATTAATTATATGGCCACGAAACTGTGCATGGCATTACTGCTGGCCAACGACCAAACAAAAACATTCTTTAAAAAAATCTTTGTGCAATAGATCTAATAAAATGGTTTTCCTCTTTGGGCTCATAATTAAAAACCGCTTTCTGGATGCGAACACAGGATCACTAAAATAATGAGTTACAGCAACCTGGCCAATAATAATATAATTGCTCGTTTTGAGACAGCTACACCCCCTACCCCTACATTTCAGGGTAACCTTGTTGATTTCACCCCACGGCTATCAAAACGTCCCCTCGTGCTCCACGTGAGTCTGGAAAATTACTCACTACGTCTCGTAAATTGTGTTTCTCAGGCGAACGTTAAAGTGTTGAAGAAAATATGTCAACTTTTCAACATTTTTTTTTTTTTGGCGCTGCTCCTGCGGCGACAAGGTCGTGTTTACATCGGCTCTGCTTGTTTTGGGGCTCTTTTACTGTTTCTGTTTGGACTGTGTGTCTGAAACTTTCCTTATTCCACCATGGAGGTGCAGTGCAGTGTTCGGACTTTTAAGTGCATTTTTTGGTGTTTAATTTTATTGACATTTT